GTCTGCGGGGCGTGCCAGCAACTGTGCCAGGAGCGGCTGGCACGGGCTCGTGCCCAGGAGGCGGGCAGCTGCCAGCCCCTCGCTCGTGCAGTGAGGGGGGTGAGGACACCCCTCAATCCGGGCTCACACCGCCTCCTACTGCACCCCCGCCAGCCCTTGGGGGATCCCCAGAGGACAAAGGAGGAGGAGGGAGCCCTTGGGAGCAGGCTGAGGGCAGAGAGAAATGGGGGCCTCGCACTTATAGCCACTCTGTGCTGTGGCAGGACGCTGCTCCTGGCCTCTCTATCAGTCCTCCTCTTCCACCCCTACCCCACCTGGAACTTACACGCTAAGGCCTGGACCAGATGGGGGAACCACCAGCTCCTCTGATCCCAGCCCTCAGCAACACAGCTGCTCCTGCCCCTGAGGGAGAAAGTAAGTCCCTATCCACTGTGTTCCTCCCCACCAGGCCTGGGGACAGGAATGGGAGGTGCCCAGGCCTAGCCTGGGAGCTCCCAGAGGAGCTGGCAGCCAGGAAACACAAAAGGAGGCTGAACAACTCCAGAAGAAGGCGCACCACAGCTCAGAGAAGCCAGGAAGACTTCCCAGAAGAGTCAGGGCTAAGGGAAAGTGGGGCTGGAGAGTGTGAGAGGGAGTGGGAGGCCCTACCCAGATATCCATACTCTCTGAACAAGTTAGAGGGAGGGAACCTCCAGGCCAGGCTGAGATGCTCTGTCCCAAGGGGAACAGGACCGGCACGTTAAGTGTGACTCTGAGCACCAAGCCCAGGTTTTTTCTCGGTATCTTGAGCCTGCTACTAGTCTTGCCTCCTTTAATTGTTATCCTCAGTAACACTTGATTATGTCTCCACATCACATATGGGGCCACCAGGCAAAGGCTCCGTGCATAGGCCCATTCCACTTTCCCAAGCCACCTCCCTGGCCATGCCTGGGAGCCTTGGGCTCCAGCCTGGCATATCCAAAGGGTACCAAAAAGTCAGCATCACAATCCTACCTCCTTGCATTTGGGTATGCAGTCAACATCTCCTGGAAGACTATCTTCCAAATTCTCTCCTCTTCAGTGAAGGCCCCCAGATCAAGTGCCACCACCTCTGTGGGAACCCACCTGACTCCCAGGGCACAACTCTCTCCTACTCCTACTCCTTCTCCCACCCCCAGCCTTTACCTATCTGCAAAGCAGAGGGCTTAGGAGAGGGAACTGGCTGAATCTGGTGCACCCTGAAAGCAGAGCCAAGGCCTTCCTCTAGACTCCCACCTATGGAACACAGGGTGTGGTACACCCCAGGGATTCAAGTGCAACACTTTTGTTGGGAGGGAGAGAGAGGGAAAATAATGGGCCCTAGCCCCACCTGGCACCTGAGGTGTATTGCAGCCTCTGTTAACCAGAGATCTGTTAAGAGTTGGGAATGGCTCCTCCATCAGGCCTCCGGAGGAACTGACTGGGAATGGGGGAAGGGGTGCAGGGGCAAGAAGCTCGAGAAATGAGAGAATAAGAAGACTCTTCACCCCACCTAGAAAGCTGGAGTTGGAGGAAAAAGGGGACAGCCCCTGAAGGGACAGCACAGGACCGATCCCCTCTAGTGCCTAGGTCATCTTGGCCAGGCCCAAGGGCAAGAGCTCAAGCCTGAGGCTTCTCCAAAGCCCCAGCCCAGGACTAAAAGCCAGGCACAAGGGAGAACCAGTGTGTCACCATCAGTGTGGTGGAAACTGCATCCGGTAGGCAGGCAGGCAGGAGCCCTGGGCTCTTGTCCAGGACCTGCTGCTCACTGATGTCCTCAGTCTTATCATCTTCCAAGGCCTCAGTCTCACAGTCTGAGCAATGAACTCAAAGTACTGAATTATCTTCAAGCATACTCCCACCCAATTCTAGGATTTATACCTGCCCCTGCTCAAAAGCCTTTAGTGTCCCCCTCCCACTCCAGCTGTCAGCAAGACCCTGTTCCAAAGAGGCTCTGTGTGGCCCTGGAAGGAGACAAGACTGGTTGGAATTCAGCTTTCCCATCTTCTAAAAGTGTTGGACCATAGGCAGCTCGCCCCCCTACTCTGCCTGTGCCCTCTATAAGTGGCCACAGTAAAACCCACCTCAAGGTCTGCTGAGACCATCAAAAATGCAAGGGTACCTGGCATGAAGCTTGGCCTTGCCATGCTCAATGAACTGCAGCTGTCTCCTGGCTTCCAGTCCCAAGTCCCCTCTCCCTATCTTCCCCATCCGCCCTCATCCATCAAGCCCAGCTGGAACTCCACCACCTGTGGGAAGCCCTCCTGGCCTTCTGGCCCACTGTACTCTCCTGACTCAGGATCCTCCGCAGCATCAACTCATCTCCTCACTCTTTCACTACACATGCTGCTTGATGCCAGGCTCTATGCTGGGTGCTGTAGGCTCAGAATGGCTCTGATATTGCCAGTGTCTTCCAAAGGTGAGGTAGGAAAGGGAAACAAGGCAGGACAAAAATGACTAAAACCCACTGCAGGCGTAGAGAGGGCCAGAGAAGAGGGAGTTCTAAGATGGCTAAAAAGGGTTAGGGAGGGCTTCCTGGAGGAGGCATCTGAACTCTGTGCACGTAGGGACAGTGACTACAACCATAGGGAGGAGGAGCAGAAGGTGGACCAGGGCATGTAGAGTAGAGAGGGAGGTGGGAGCAAAAAGCCAAGAAAAGGACACAGTGTGAGGAGTGGTCTGGTGGGGGTTGAGCCTTAGGGTGTGGGGAAGGAGATTCATGTCTACTTCTCTGGCCTGTGTCCCTGGTCCCATAGTGGCCTGCAAGAGCCAGAGAAGCTGCCAGCACAAAGCCTGCGAGCCATGGGCTCCCAGGTCAGGACACTCTGACCCCTACAACGTTGCCATGGGCATCTGGAGTGATCAATGTCCACAACCTCCCCTCTGCCACTAGCACTTTGCTTCCTGGGACCCTGCTGCCAGCCACCAATAGGGTACAGCCCCCTCCCTAGATATAGGCATGCCTCTCTCACTAGGGCCCCCCCTCCCATAGGGAGTCTGACAGCTTACCTCCTAGGCACAAGCCCCTTCCCTTCCCCATCTCCAAAGGCACAGACTAGCCTCATTCTCCAATAAGATGGCCAGAGGAACTAGGTCTGGAAATGACAATCCAATCAAGCCCCTGTCCCTGTCCTTTCCCAAGATGGCTCTCCCCCTTTCCACTGCCTGGCACTGAGGCCTTCAAGGGGGTACCCCACCCCTCCCCCAACCCCAAAATGCATCTGGGCCTAGAAAGCCAAGGAGGTGGAAGGCAAGCTCCCTGGGATGAGCAGGGGCAGATTTCCTAGCCTTTAACACCATACCCTGACACCAGCACCGGTTAACACCCTACCTCCCCCGACTTGCTTAGCCAGGTAAGCGATCAACACCATTTGTCCCATAACTCACATCTCAGGTCACCTGCCAAGCTCCCCACCCCAGCCTGGTTGATGCTCCAGGGTGAACTCTTGGCACCACAGAAAGAACTGTAGGCCCATGGTTGGCACTCCTCACCCTAGGGCCAGCTGGAGGAAAGGCAGTGGAGATTTGGGAGGGAAAGCAGCCACTGGCCCCAAGTCATCACTCCAGCTCTTTAAAAAGGAGAGGGTGAAACAAGAGTAATACAAAAGCAAACTCGGGGGAGCAGGGCCTCCTCAATATTCGCGACCTGGGAATGGGCTCCTCTCGGCGATGCCCCCAAGAACGGGTGGGGATGTTGCTCGGGGATGCCTCAAAGAGGCAGTCCCTTGTCACCCTACCAGACTTCCCATCCCGCATCCCTCCTGGAGAAGGATCACGCACACAGCTGCTCCCAGCACGCCCCCATCTGTCCACCGGCCGGCCCCACGCCCTGGGCGCACAGTCCGTGACCCCTGGGACCTCAGAGCCCCTCCCGACTGCCCGCCCAGGAAGCCCCAGTCGGGGTCCCAGCCCGTTCGCAGCCGGACGCCCCCACCTTCCAGCCAGCCGAGCTGTTGCTGTCGCCTTTATCCTTGAAGTAGGGCACGTAGCGGACCATCCAGTCGTAGATCTGCGAGAGCGTGAGCCGCTTGTCCGGGGCGCTCTCAATGGCTTTGGTGATGAGGTCGGCGTAGGACAGGTTCCCCCACGCGTTCCGTCGGGAGCTCTTCGCTTTCCGCAGCGGTCCGACCTCTGCGCCCAGTGGCGGCGCGGGGGCCATCGCAGGGGCCGTAACCCGGCGCTCCGGCCCGCAG